CTCTAATCAATTTCTCTAATCACTGACATCTTTACTCGGCCCCCTTCCAATATAGACGCAGTGGCCTGACGAAAATTGATCGGAAGCAAACGCGTGCTCGCTAAATAATCCTTTGAAATTGATAATGTATCTGCGACTATTAAGAGGTACAGACAGTATTCCACCGGTATGTTAGCTTCTCCCTGGTTCCTATGACTAGACCAGGCCCTACCTCCTCTTTGCCACTCTATACGGCACCAAGACTATTTCGACAGTCATGGCAAATCAAACTCTTAGTGTTATTCAAGAACCTTTTCCTCAACTTTTGGACCACTGTATTGAGTAAGCCATATAAATAGCCAATTATTCAATAAATCGTTCACTAGTTCTTATCGGAACACGGTGTATTGTAACAATCCACTGAACGGAGCAAAATTATGCTGAACGAACTGTCTGCTCCAAGTTCGCTCTCCTTCACTCTACAGATTTCAGTTTGCGATAGTGTATCCAAGAAGCCATTTCTGTTAAAATTCCTATAGGGTATCCTCCTTTCCTTCACTTTCATGTTTCATGGACGTCCAATAGTTGACTGACCGCAAGCCACTGGACGAAAGCGCCACTCTTTGGACGGCCACCATTTGCCACATTTTCTGCGTTCGAGCCTATCTCCAGCCACCAACCTCCAGGCTCTCAACCGATGTACTAGCCTAATCCCGCCAACTGGTGGTGGGGCTGTAATGACACCCTAAGGTGGCCCGTGTGGTAGTTCTGGGTTTTGAAGTATATCATTCATTTAGCTCTGATTTGCTTGAATGTTTGGACCGGCGCGTGCGTGACAGGAGTAGAAAAAGTGTATTGCCCATCCAAAGCTGTTGCCTTCGTCTTGTCACCCCACCACGCAAAAATATTGGCTGGGGGTGCACTCCGAAGTCTGCCTATATGCAAACCTATTCCTGCGCAAGCTCCTCCGCTCCATCAAGCCTCTTGTGCTTCTGGCCGTTTGCGACTGACGAACTACCAAACGAAGGTACAGTCGGAACCGGTTGTCCATATTTTGAAAGACAATGCCGTAGAAGGCCACACATGGTTTAGTACGTGATAGATGTTTCTTATCGTTCAGACAAGCTATTTGCATGGTAGGGTAATAGCGTGCGTCACGGATAGCAGGTTCCGGACGCAGTCGCGAGGACAAATAGAGTGAAGTCGGGATACGCACTCGATTCCACCCATGTTACCCTCCATAATGCTGATGCACAGTAGGCATGCTAACTCATGAAATGTTAACCGAAATTCTGAAATGCGTTTCGTTTTGAAAAGATTACTTAGGTAGAGTTTTAAAACCAATCATCATGCAGCACAATACTATAATAATTCAGTTACCTCGGGATGCTGGCTTTCGAACGAACATGCATGCTCTATTAACCCGACTTGCCGTTACACTTGCATTCAAGGTTTGCAAATTACAAACCATATATGTTCTGCGCACAGAAAACCATAAATTTCTCTACCATATTAAGAGGAGATCATACGGAGTTCATAAAATTTGGCCGTGGATTTGATCCTTATTGTAAACAAGCAACATTAGTTAATGCAGAGACACGATATTTTATGAAAGGGCATTTCACGGTATTAAAAAATCTCATAATCATAAACTTTTTAAAAACCGAATTATAGCCTTTCTTCGAGTACAATATTGAAAGAAAACGTCATTGTTTTCCACAAAATATAATTGCATTTTGAGGGCATCGAAAATCAATGAGAAAAATTCATGCTCCTTAAGTGGCCATTTTTTACAATGTGGTTTTTGCATACAGTCGGAAAGATGTTCATTTGAAAGCCGGCATCCTGCGGTTACTGAATTATTATAGAATTATGCTTTATAAGTAATCTTGTCGAGTCGAAAACGCATTTCAGAATTTCGGTTAACATTTGATGAGTTAGCACACCTACTGCAAGTCTACATATCGATCCAATGGAAAACTGTCCAGTGTTTGACGTATAATGGTATTTAAAAAAAGTTTAGAAACCCAGCGTTCACGAGCGGCTGTTCGAGGATGGCTGTGCGATAAAAACCAGAACAGAATAGAGCACACATTGAGGTGGCGATCCATTACGCAAAGACGTTTTTTTGGCGATCGCGCACGCTGACTACAGCTTTTCCATCTCGTCTCAATAAGTAAAGATGACAGAACCCGGCCACTTTATGCCGCACAGGTACACAGGAGTGAGCTTTGCGTATTTCCGAATGACAAGGCGCGTGTTGTAGGCTTTATTGTCTACCTCAGACGTATGATTATCCCTCATTTAATTTTATTATGTTAAAACCAGTTCAAAGATAACTTTGATATTGCTTTTTACACCCATCCTGCATGTTTAAAACTTGCTTATTAAAGTACCAAAGAGTCCGTTTGAAGGGCATCATAAGTCTCCGTCCGTTTAAAATGCTCCTATCATCTGACAGAGGTTACTGGGGGTGCTTTTGCCTTTTCCTGGTATTCTAATTCTCCTTGTTCCGCTCTCCGTCCCCTTCTCTTCCTCAATCCTCCTTTTCCCTCATGCGTCATCCCTTCACATTCGTGTCTTATTTCATCCTCTTTATTCTTCGTCCGTCTCCGCGTCATGTTAAAAGGACAAATGGGCTAACCATTGCCCATCTGCGTACATGTTTTTCCACTTAAGCGACCTGCCCGTTGAAAAGTTTTTTTAGCCATATGAACGTATCGTTTTCGCGCGCGCGCAGCTGCAGATGTTACTGCAGTTGATGCGGCGCGCCCTAGGATCGCAGCCGTCTGTCGACACTTGTTCTCATGCATGCGTACATGCTTCCATCTGCATCTGATCGATGTCTTTCTGAGCCACAATTATGGCTGCCCCTATCGGGCCTTAGACGTAGCCTAATGCCTGTTTTAACTCCCCCCCTCCCTCCCTAGTTCTTTGAGCTAGTGCCGGAGCTTCCAAGGTCCTCGTCGCTTCAGCAGCGCTGGTTGTTTTCAAACCATCGTTGCCCAAAACTGGGGAGTCATGTCTACAGTAGATGTGCTAGTCAAGAAATGTTAACCGAAATTCTGAAATTGCCTTCGGTTTGAAAAGGCGACTTAAGTGGGGTTTCAATATTAGTGATCGTGCAGCAGAATCCCAAGAGATTTCGGTTGTATCACTCTGTAAAAAGGGGACTGCTTAAGTAGCATGGATTGTTATAATTACTTTTCGATTCCCTCATAGATTAAAATATATTCTATAGAAAATGCGCACAAAATATCTGTTCTTTTGCTGGTGTGGTGGCAAACTACGTCGGCTTTAAATTCTATGTTCGGAAGAAGGGTAAAATTTGGTCCTTTTCCAATTCCCGACTAATGTTGAACACAACCTGCCGTTACACTTAGATTAAGGGTTTCCATACTACAAGGTTCATATTTTCCGTCTAAGGAAAAACAAATTTCTATATGCTTTTAAGAAGATACCATATGAGCTTTTAAAATCTTGTTGTGGAATTGAACCATACCGTATACCTTACAAGCAACATCGATAAGTGTAGAGATACAATGTTTTATGAATCGACATTTCACGGTCTTAAATACCCCAAAATTAGAAACCGAAGACCAGTAGATGCTCCTTCGTCAAATATAAAATTTATGGAAAACGTGATTTGCCACAAAATAAAGAAAACGAGTATTTTTGAATATTCTGTCTGCAAAATGTACTTGGATTTATAAGAACATCAACAGTCAATGAGAAAAATTCCTACCACTTGAGTGGTCGTTTTTCTACAGAGCGCAGTTTCTACAGACGTCCGGAAAGAAGCTCGTTCAGAAGCCCGTATCCTGACGTCACCTGACTTGCGAACTTTTTTCACTTCTTGGATCGGCATGGATGCTTCTGAGGTAGTACACTTCCAGTAACTAAACAACTTTGTGCAAAAAGTACGGCATAGTGTTGGTAATCGTATGATGTAATTGCCGATTCAAATGACTTTAGTCGAAATTCAAGGGGTGCACCAGTTTGTTGTCACGTTATGGGACACTTTTTAGTAAGGTCTTTCGTCTTTCTATGCTACTATGTGAACACTTTTTCTTACGATGGCGACTTCACCGCAAGATCAGGCTAACGTTCGGCTAGAATGTGCTCTTGCTTAAGCTTTTGTGAAAATGTCTACATTCAGAGGGATATCGCTTGAAGAATACCAAATGGTAACCCGCCTAGTTGCCCACTATATCCTCATCACGGAACATTGCGAGTTATCTGCATCTTTTCCTGCCTGTCATCGGTAACTTCTTGCTGTGTTTTCATATTCGGCCATACATCCATATTCGACACAATACTTCCTAGTATGCAGCGAACATCTTACAGCATGATTAGGTAGGGGGCAAGTAAGGAACGCTAACAGCTCTGTACAAGGTAGACAATGACCAGCCAGAGGGGCCTTCCGAGTGATTTACAGGGTTTCGTCACGCTATCCATGATTACTTGAACATCGTTTGTTGGCCACAACAGAAGAGACTGCAGTCGGAGTACGCAAACCGGTCCTTTGTACACAGAAGAGTTCCGTACAGACCTCAAATCTGACATGCTCCAAAGTTGCCAAGCAAGCCACCCGCATATAATTACCTTTCTCGATGCCCACCATCCCTCTGACTCTGATTGGAATTTAGATTTTTTACTCACTCCCTCAACCCCCAAACCCGAGCTACAACATAGCTCTCTACCTGTCCTTATCTTTTTATTCATTATTTAAATAGCTACATAGATGTATAGACGTGAAGAGAATTTACAGAAAGCAGACGTATGCTCGCCAATTTTTCTTTTGAATTTCTGTTTGTCTTCCGGCTTTTTGGGAATTTTATTTGCCATCAAGCCTGTTGTTAGTGATCGGTAAAACAACTGACCAGATTTTAAAAAAACCGTGTTTTCCCATACAATACAGGAAAAATACGAACAACACATTCAACTTGTCCTGGTCCGACGCAAGTTAATATCATTGCCTTCGTCCAAAATCTGCTCATCAGCAAAGGTGTGCTGCGTCCATGGTGAAGACTTTTCAAGTCTACCTTGACGTGAACAGTGGTGGAACTAGTAGATGTGCGAGCAGTAGCAGTACAAGCAGTGCAGGCGGTGGCGCCGATTCGCCAGTCATCCTCGACGAGAGGACCTACAGTTGCGTTCATTGCAGGGCCCATTTAGCGCGTCACCAGGACCTCATCTCCAAGTCCTTCCAGGGCAGCCAGGGCCGAGCCTACCTGTTTGAAAATGTCGTTAACGTAGCATCCGGCAAACCCGAGGATCGCCTGCTTCTTACAGGTATTCATTTATCCAGAAACCCCCTGTATTTGTATTTTTGCCAGAAATTAACTAAGTAATGAGGGGGTATTTTCAAGAAGCTATAATAGTAGTTCCACAGCGCGACATTTACTACTCGCATCTCCCTTGTATAGCAGGTTGGCTACGAGGAGGACTAAGATTGAAAATAGAGTTTCATTAACAGCGAGGACGTCAGCATCACCACAGCGGCGCCTTCGTTAATGCCGCCTACCATTGCCACTACTACTACTACTACTACTACTACTACTACTACTACTACTACTACTACTACTACTACCACTACTACTACTACTACTTCTACCACTACTACTGCTACTGCCACCACCACCACTGCTACTCCTACTACTGCCACTACCACTACTACTAGTTACATACCATCTACTGCAATCCCATCCTCTCACCCACCAGGCTCCTATGGTGAGACAATATGAAGACGACCGAAGGTAGGCTCGGGTGCAGCGCCTCGCAAGATCCGGTATCCTGCGCAATGTGCCAAGTTTTCACGCCAAGGAGTGACTTGGATTTCGCATTCGTGAGTCCCGTTGAGGCTACATTCAGGAGGAAACATTGGGCCCGACACCCAATCTTCGAACCAATCACCCCACATACAGTATTGACCACGGGGACTGAGTTGTTAAATCAGTTGTCAGTCTCCTAAGCCACAGCCTTTAGCGTATCGCGATAGCTCCAAAGCGCTTCAGATTTACTATAGCGAAAAATGCGTTTGAAGTTCTGCGGGAATGGGCTCTTGAATGCCGACTTCCCTCATCCATCTCCCATGTATCACTCCATTGTCCGAGCTGGTCTGTCATCTGACGCTGGGGTTGGGCGCAGTGGCCCACAGAACTACATTAGACCGTCTGGGCTTGCCGCATACTACTACTGTTGCTGCTGCTGCTGCTACAACAACAACAACTACTACTACTACCACCACCACTACTACTACTACTACTACTACTGCCACTACTAGTAATAATAATACAATGGCTACTACTGATAGCTTGTCTGTCTCAAGCGACTGCCTGTAACACGTGGTTACGACCTGCTTGTGAATTGGGCCATAATAAGGGCCGCTTTCTGCAGCGACTAACTCATCTTCGCTTCTAATACCCACCATGTTCTTGCGGTAAGCCGACTGGAGCTAGGTGTCCGCACCACGGCCAGTGGGGCTGAATTTACTTGTGTGCCTGTCGCACATACACGCTTGTCTGACTACGGATGCTCCAGACAAACGTCAAGCTGGATTCCAGGACTGGAAGGTATGCGACTTGCATGTGGCATGCTCTACCGTGATGGGTTAACTCGGCTTCCCTCAGTACTGGAGGTCAGGCTGCACTCCCTCCTGGTGGACCTTTTGCGGTAGCCCCTCTTTAAAACCTGCTTCGTGTGGCGATAGATACCAGACCGTAGACGGATTGTTTGGCGCTGTCAGCTACAGTATCCACACCCACCTCCAGTTGTCTTGACTTTGCCTTGTCATCGAAATATGCTGGGTGTTTGCAGGAGTGAAGCAGATGTCGCACAAGTCCGGCTTGGTATAAACAAATTTAGGCGTTGGCCGCATTTTGCCCTATCGTCTGACTATAGAATTACCTTTTACCCTGCCTTTTGAGCAGAGAAAGTACATTAAAATTTAAGAAGCCATGGTGAAGACTGACATCTTCGGCAGCTTTTTTCGCGCGCTGGCAAATTACAACGATTCAAGGCTTTTTTCAGCTTACACCGCCGTAGAACACTGCGACCCCGTCGTTGATAAAAAAAACCGGCTGTTGAGTCAGTCACTCGTGCTTGCCTCAACTATTCCGAGCAGACACTCCGTCGGTCCGAGGGTTAACTCGTCCAAGGCTTTGGCGCCGCCTTGGTCACCGATTGAAAAGTGGACAAATGCGGCTAAGTCCGGCACTAGAAGAATCCTTGATCGTAGAATGATCAGTTTTGGAATGGGAGGCCAGCTGTCGGGCGATCGCAGGGGTCCAGCCACAGTAGTACAAAAAAGTCTTTCAACTGATTAATGACAAACACCGAAGTAGACAGGAAGAAACTTTGACGAGTTTCTAGTGTCTACGATCATGAATTACTTGTGGAGTTCATAAAATCATTCCTCCCACCGCTGACAGCCGCATCCAGGTTTCCGATGGTCCTGATCAGCTTTGAGTCAGCTGTACACATTATCTGTTTGCAATTTTTCTTACTTTGGTGTATGTGGAAACGCCATGCTTTGAATGGAGACCTTTACAGAAAACCCTTCGTGCAAACTATTATGTCCCAACTTCCGAACTCCTATCTTTCCTCCATGTTAAACATTTGAATGGGTTTGTTCAATGATAGGGCGCCATTTCTGCGTCGCTATGATTTGTGACAACATTGTTTCAAAAGATTTACAATCTACAACCACGGTAGTTTTCTCTTTTGGGAATCGCAACTCCTGACGCTAATCGTTTTTAAACGAAACGATGACCACTGGTAGACTACTTCAAACGCTTACATGGTAAGAGGAGGGTACGCGACAAAAGTTCGCATTTACTAAGTGCCATGTTTAGATGAAGCAGACTGCAGGAAGTGGGGAATTCACACTGTGAAGCGGGATCGAGCTGTCGATCCAGGAACTTACGCTAGATTTTCTACCGACTGAACTATCGTAGACGCGCATACCAACTACCATAGAGTTGACTGACCGGCTTGGATTGCTGTGATTGACCAGGCACCATACAGGACCTCGCACTCTCTGCGTTTGAACAGACGGGATAGTTGCGTCATGCAGAGCCTTACAATGTTGTTTGTGCATAGACTCAAGCACGCGCCACACAGACGCGTTATGTTACAGCAGACACTGGGGGACGGGGGTGATACACTGCCAGCATGCTCTAGGTTTCTTGAGGATTTTGCGTAAAGGCTGATCCTGAACAACCACTCGAATTGCTCGCTCAAGGTTGCTCCTCCTCCTCCTCCTCCTCCTCCTCCTCCTCCTCCTCCTCCTCCTCCTAAATATACCCGAATCCGCCTTCGGTATTGCTTTAACACAGAATAACCAGCATTTCCTCGTCAACCATCATCCCATTCTACTGTGAAATTATTTCGAAACTGGATAAACAAATCCCTTTCAAAAGTTTTTCTCAGACTTGACCGGATAACTTTACTGATGCACCTAGTTGACGATGATTCGTGTGCAGATCACGATATCTGGCAGGAGTGTGAAACATATTTACACGGGCTGAGCAGCTGTCACAGCAGCAGACTCCTACTGGGGGTTTACTCAGAACGGAATCCCCTCACCAACACCGCCTTTCGCCTTCGAAACTAGGAGGCGACTAGTGGGCTAAGTAATCGTTAGAAAGCGGGACCAGTGTGAGGTGCTGATGACGAAGAGGACGTACAGCATCGAATGCTGGACGGGCTGCTGCCCGCGGGCTTTTCCATCTTAATAAGGAATCAAGTAAGTTAAGCGCCCATACCAACGACAGAAGAGATGAAAACATAGCCGGGCACTTCTGACGACGAAGCCTACTGCGGCAAAGACTGGGTTAAATGCAAAATAGCGGACTGATTCACATTGCGGATGCACAGACCTCTACGAGATGAAGAATTCCCTCACCCCATAAAGACAGTCAGGACAGCGAAATCGCTGATCCTGGAATGTCAGGTCGAACGCTTAAGAGGCCATCCCCAACCTTCCACCTGTAGTCCTCGAGGAAGCCTTAAACGTACTGCTTCAAGTGGCAAAAAACGCCGACCGTGCTCGTTTACCTTATCTGCAAGAAACGATGACAACAATGCGGTCTGTGTCCAGTGATACTGCTCGGGTCTAAGAGTCGGTTTGGAACAGCTCCTTGGCGTGGCCTTTATGTCAGTCATCTATGTGAACTCCGAGATCGTTCACATAAGCTTGGTCTTTAGGGAGTTTATGACCGGCCCGTTCTACCACACTATTTTCCTTGAACTTATCCGGCATTTGGAACGAGAGCACGCGGAAAAGGTAGAGCGGGGGTAGATGTTGTGTTGGTCTGTCATGCGCAAGTCACAACTGCGTTCTTTTTAAAACAGCGCTGGATCACGCGTCTTCTCGCGGCCGCACTTCTATGCGTGCCTTTACGTGAATTGAGGAGAATAAGCACACAGTTCGCGTGTTGTCCGCGTTAGAACATCTTACTTTCGCTTTCGCCTGCTGTCTTGGTGTGTGCACACTTTTTTGCGAGTCTCGTGGTGTCTGCGCGTCTGTCTGGTTTGGCCTTGCTGACCGGGCACAGCCAATCCTGCCGGCTATTGCGCTTCTCTCCCCCAGCCTCTCTCTCTACCTCTCACCGCGGCTATTGACGTCACTTGCGCAGTCATCCGTCTCCTCTCACACGGGCACATGCTCGAGTTGCACTGAGGCTGCTACCTGTCACTGATTTACGCAACCGACTGGGATTGTAGCGAAATATGTCCTTTCTTACGTAAGTTGGGGAGGCGTAGCGAGGCCTACTCTTTCGCCGCATCCACGCTCACCGGTTTACCGCGACGAACGCGCCCTCATTCCTATGATATGCTACCTGGCAATCAATATTACCGCTGGATATCAGGCACCAGGAAGGCTCACCCAGTTAAAAAAAACACTCAGGCAGTAATATTTAAAAAACGGTTTTTTCTACAAAATGACCACTTGCCCAACGCAATATTCGTGCGTAAATTTGGTTTATGTAAAAAGGTTGTGCGTCTAGGTGCGAAAAGCCGAACAACCTCCACTTCAATCTCACTAAGGTTGTGATCATCTAACGCCATAAAAGTGACCATCGTCGGTTGAGGGAATGTGGAAAAGGTATGCAAGGTGGTGAAGAATTTTCCATATTAACGCACAAATTTCGTTCACGGGTTAGCATACATTATCCCCCGAGAACGACACTTTCTTCCGGTTGTTTCTGACAATTTCTGATGTAAGGCGTGCTTTACACACTGCGGTCGCATAGAGAAGATCTCAGCCGTAATTATTTTATCTTTGGCAAGAGACTCGTAGTGAACAACGCCAGCGGTAGTCTGCCATACACAAGTTGTAATTTTTTGCGGACGGAGGTTGAAGTAGTGCTATTGATGTGTGTTTGTGGGGTATTGGATCATTAGTGACTTTCCCACAAACTGTTTCGTCACTTTAAAAACTTTGGCGAGTTCATGATACGTTTCTTTTCGAACTTTTTCAACAGCGTCTCCTAGCATTTCGTTATCAGCATCCGGGTCTTCCTGAACGTGGTGGTTCGTATTCTTGCTGCACATATCACAGGCTTGTGTGAACTTTCAGAAGTTTCTTAACAGAGTGGTTGCACGCAATTCCCACAATTTGGCCAGTCGCCATCTCTCCGGCCGTTCTTGGACGTTACGCCTGAGATACAATTAACGCCTTACTGCCTATACGTGGAGAATTCCTACCCACATTATCGCTCGGAGTGCATTCAAGGCGCGAATCCTTGAATGCGCCGCTTTTTAAGCACACACCTCTGAGCACTGCCCTGGTTACTGTTCACAGGAATCCGAGGAATGGAGTTTTTCACGATCCAAGGACTAGCTCCCTCTGCCATCTGAAGGAGTTTTAAAATGTTTAAATGGCACCAGGGATCATGATGCTTCAGTTAGCGCTCCTATTTGAGAGGTTTGATTATTTACTGGCTGTATGACCTTCGTAGTGCTATTTTCTTCGTCCCGTTCAGGGTTGCACTCGGTTGCGGACATCTACTGTGAATGTTGCCGTACCGTTCTTGGCTGGAAATATGAGCAGGCCTTTGAACCGAGTCAAAAGTACAAGGAGGGCAAGTACATCATTGAGCTGGCACACCTTATCAAAGACAATGGGTGGGACTGGTCAGCTTGTGACTCTGAACAGCGCAGATTCTGGTGACGTCATCTGGACCTCCCGGCCGACGAGGCTACGTCCACAATGCTCCTCCTTACCTTCTCACACCCATCCTCTCACAGTCCGTTCCACGTTCCAGTGATAACGAAATGATCGCTTGTACATCTGAACTTTTTTGCTTTGTTTTTTTTTCTTTTCATCGACTTTTCCTGCTCATCCACTTTGTACATTAAATACCGTACTTCGAACTTCGCTCATAATGCGAACCCAACAAAGCATTGTCATACTAATCTTATTGCGTTTTGGATGCTTTAAAAGGTGTATATATGCTATTTCTTAAAGACCACAACGGAGACTTATGCGCACAGTCCCATTACTCCAGTTATTCCTTCTTGTCTAGTTTTGATCACCATCACGAAGCTGTGCGTTGTTACACAGGCTTTTGAACAGTTTAAAACTACAAAACGCTTTCCTCTTATCTTGACACCTGCATAATGCGTGCACGACCTTTTGCCGGTCTACAGGCCTCAGCTATGATGTTTATGACATTTTGAACACCTACTAATCCGCTCTCTGTGTCATTTTATTTTCTGAATGACAGCTTCTTTTGGTTGCATCATTTTGCATTTCTCGTCATGGCAGGCACTTTGCTGTCTGTGTGCAGGGCTAGCTTTGACATGCTTACCTCATCCCATCTATGAGCAGGCTCATCCAGCGGTTTTCTTCGAGGACTTTCGTACTTTGGTGGTCAGTCATGCCTGGTAATTTGTCTTTAGGCCTTTACCATTGCGTAAGTGACAGAATTCTGGGCTGGAGTCTGGTCTTGGTCCTTGGGTAATTAAGTTTCATTTGGGAAAGCAACTGTGGCTGGCTACTCAATGTTGTTTTCACAGTTTGATGAAAAAAATTGGGCTAGATGACCACTGCGAAGAGAATTGGGCGTCGAATGAGTCCTGACAGAGGGCAAATCCACGATTGTCTATCTAGGCAAGTGATGTACTACTCGTGCAGAGTGGATATCGCCGAGGTAGTTTAAATTTTGTAGAAGCTCAGAAAGGCCATGCCCGCTGGTCTGAAAAGTACCGTTGGAGCGTCCGACCTGAATGGCAATCGGGTTACAGACGACCCGACCGCATTCCCGTTAACTATTTCGTCGCAACTCATCCCTACGTGGGTTTACATCTTGTTTGCTTTAAAACAAGTGCAAGCGGTCTTTCCCACCCCTTGCCTTTCCCCCGTCGGCACGACAGTCAAGTTAGACCTTAGACCACCTAGTGTACACTCTGACAATAGACCCTTCCCTGGCTTCGCCAGTGAAGAAATTGAGGCTTCTCTTGCCGTCGCCACCTTGTTAAAGCACCCGCTCTCAAGATGTTTCTCACTGATGATAGACACTTGGACACGAACCCTTGGTGCGTCTATCTAGCAATATCTGACAAATCCGGCTCTGTCATTAGCCCCCTATCCACGAGGTTTTCACCAGCACATCTGGCCATAAATACCTCGTCATCTACCTGGGAGCGAAACATTTCCGTCACTTCCTTGAAGACCGTAGCCTCGCAAGGGAAGTTAACAACTTGTAGCATATTTCGTAAGTTATCACTGATAAACGTTGCATCAGTGACAAAGTATGGTGTGGCTGATGTCGCTCCAAACCCTTCGTCTCTGTGCTCAAGCCTTCAAGTGGTGTGGGAATTACCACCACGACCGCTGAACAACGATGAATCGGCTAGGCTGACAACGAGGTCCTTGGTCGTGTCCGTATTTTGAACGGCCACCTGACCTCCGGTGACGGCACATTCCTTTGCGTCACCTTACCAACGCATCATCCCTTCGTCCAGGTTTGTATACGTCGAGCTGTGTCTTAACCTATTCGCTGAATTACCCACCCCCGATCCGCGAATCCCAGAAACTCCTTGCTGAATGGTTTGTCTGGGCTGGCATGTTCACAAGGACGTCCACTCTTGGACTCTGGCATGCCTGAACTGCCAGCGAACAAGGTTAGACGTCAAAACGGGTTTCCAACTCCCCTTTCCCAGCACCTTTCAGCGACTTTTATTTCAATATCGTAGGCGTCTTACCTCCGTGCAGTGGTTACAAATACCTTGCCTGCATCGATCAGAACATCCGCCAGACTAAAGCTAATCCATCTCCGAATATGGCGGGCGAGGCTACCGTCAGTCTCTGGGTCGCTATATTTGCTGCCCCAACTATGGTTACAACTGACGGATGCGCCTAATCCGAGTCTACCTTCTTTCAGTCCCTCCTCAGCTTTCAGCGTTCATTCGGACAAAGGCCTACTATCGAGCCGCCAACAGCATGGTCAAGTGTTTTTATTGTCAACTAAAGACGACCCTGCGTGCTGCAGAGGACACAACGAATTATACTGCCTTCTTCTGGCACTTCTATGCATTTAGGGGGAGGGGCTGAATCCGGACTTTAAATACAATGTGTTTGAAGTTGTGTTTGGCAATACCAGCTGCCTGCCAGGTGAGATGATCACGCAACCTCCTGCGATGGCAACGCGAATCGTTGCAACTTCGTGAACTACTGTAAATTCATGCGCCCGCTGCCACCAGTCCCATCGAAAGCTCTACCGTAAAAAGAGACTTGGCTGACTGCGTCCACGTCTTCGTTTGGTGTGTCCTTGAGCGCAAACAGTTGAATCGCCGACATGAAGGATCACGCCGGGTGGTCTACTGCAGCACTATGATCTGCCGGAACCTTCGCCGTGACACAGAGGACATGATCAGTGCGAGTCGGATCAAGACCGCTGTTTTAGAGAAGCCGCCGGACCAGCCTCGGGCAAGCGTGGGCTAGTTTCCCACTCCTCTCAGCCTGAAATCTGTCTGGTCTCACTGTCACTGAACGCAATCTATTCAGCATCACCGAGGCTCGCAGCATTCGTAGCGGTTGTCGTTCATACACATCTCCTCTGCCGTTATTTTCACGTCGTGCTCGGCTTATTTGGGGGTACTGTGGCCTGCATTTTGTCGTATTTCTTAATTTTACACTGCTTTTTATGGCCATTGCGTCTGTCGTGCATTTAAAAACTTTGTTATTGTTCAGTTTCGTTTGAATCTATGCTTTCTAACATTGTGAGGCGTCTGTTTCCCTTGCGCCATAACGCGTGTAGTTAGCCAATGGCCGAATCCTTCTCGTGTCTTGTCTTTTCTCCCGTCGGGCGTTGGAAAAATCGAGGGACCTGCAGGCAGGACAGTTAAGTTTGACCTAGGACGACTCATACGTCTTATCGTGGAATCAGACCAATGATCACTCCTGGTTAGCCAACTACCAATACCCTCATCAAGGAGGTCTATTGGTTTTGTAAACAACCCCTCTACGCCTACGTGTATGTGGTGAGTACTAATCTGCGAATCATTGTGTGGACTTAGGGTGTTATTGGTTTGTGGTGTCGATTGGACTCGAAGTTCATGGGCACAGTACAAAAGATGTCTGCATTGCGCGCTGGGAATAGGCATTTCTGTTTTGCAGTGACGGTCCTGGTTCACAGTCCGCACGGCGATCGCATGGGGAGGAGTAAGTAACGGAGGCGTATACCGCTGGCAACGGCAAGGGTGACTTGAATGACCATTCGTAACGGCATGGCTGCCATTGGTCGGCGATACTTCAACGTCAGACTGGAAGAGCCTCAGATTTGAACCGAATCATTTGATTATCCAGTCCTTTAGTCCAACGAGCTCTCGATTGAGCGAGGGGCTCAGGTCACATCAGCGGCAATTGGCAGTATTCAAACTTAACGGGGTCGGTATTAATCGACCTGTCCCGAAGACAGAGAAGATGACCTGTTAACTACTTTCCCAAGTGTCTGGAAGTTGTGTTCGACCGGCCGACAATTGCGGATGTGCTAAGAAAGTCTATCTCAACATTCCTGGCCTTGGCAATAAAAGTTTGCACAAAACATGACACTTAAAGTCTCATTTCGACAAGGTCTGCTTCCTTGAGACCAACGGAATTTGCCGACACACTGAAACGACTGTCAACTACTGTAGAGAAAATAAATGCTTTAGTGATTTTGCTGTCTGGGAAGAAACCCTAGTCCCCATTCGTTAAAACATCAAAACATATTTCAATAACAGTGGAGTTTATTGAAAATGCTCGAAGCTTCAGTCAGCGCTTAATCTGCAGAGATCACACCGGACTACCTCATGCTCCCATGGATTAGATGCACTCAATAAAAGTTTGATGAGATCGTCTAAACATTATTGTCAATGTCACTGCTTATAATAACAATTCTTCGTTCGGTTCGCGTGAAAAGTATATTTATCAAAGGATTACTTACAGTCTGAATTCTCCAAGACAGCGGACGTTTAACAGAAACTGTACTTGCATGAATGCAGAATTAAAGACCTGGACTCCGACTCACTTTGACTTTTTCTTTTCAAACACTACTAGGATGAGAAAGCCAGTCTTGCTTCCCCGCGCCCCTTCAGAACACTAGCAGGCAATATTTATCCACAAAGTTAGCCACGGCTATTGCTCATAGTGCTTTTGTAATCCACAATTTCGTTTAGATTCAAGAACTGTTCCCCAATGCGGGGACTGACGCGTTCTGGCCAGTTTCCCTTGATCAAATCGAGAAACGTGGTAATGAATAGCTTACTATGCGGTCACAAGTTAAAATATCACTAAGCGAACTTAGGACTCAAAGGCCTAATACCATCCTGGTGTTCGCACGCCTTCCTTCTGAAAGGTCAGCATAAAACACCAAAACCAGGAAGTACAAAAGAGTAGTCTATATTTCACACAATAGCACGTTGTTGAGGCAAGATGTTTTGCGAAAACGTACATAAAACCCAAATAACCACTAAGAATCGCATGGAGCAGTCATTAAGCTTACTACTCGGAGACAGTGTCCATCCTCCTATGGTATAACGATTCAAAATGTCAGCTTATGAAGAAGGAGACACGATCGCCGGGACAAGAGCTTTATTAGCCTGACGTTTCGGATTCCTACTCGAATCCATCATCAGAGACAAAAAAGCAGAAATGGGTGGTTGTTGCACAAGGGGCTGCGGTATTTA